AATGCTTATTATATTGAGAGTAGATTATGAACGATCTAAATATCTCGAAAAAAAAGTTTTTGTTCTGAGGGCAAATTGTGCTGAAATATTGAATATTCGGAGCTTTGCATATTGCTGTTGAATTTTGTTTGATCTGCCTCACCCTCCGATCCACTCTCTTCATTCGACAATAAATGCTCGTCACAATCCCAGTTTCCGGTCCCAGTTTAGTTGCCGAATTTGCGAAAATTCAACCAATGAAGTCTTGAAATTTGTTTTATGACACAAGCTTATGAGATAAAGTCGGAATTTCATAATTTCCGATTTATTGCAAGTGATTTGTTCAAAACCATAATAATTACAAAACTAGCGATTTTGATAAGATTACTTATAAAGCGAAAATCTGCATTAGGTATCCTTTTTGATAAACCGATATGAATATGAACAAACGTCCCCGTTATCGAAAAAGTCTCTATTTAGGAGCATTAAACTATGAATGCTAGCAATCTAGCAATGGAAGAAAGAGTAATGGGTATAATTAAATGAAGCAAGACTAAAAACAGAGATTTGGAAAAACATGTACGCGAAGGTGTTTCAAGGTGGGTGCAGCATCAGCAGTGATGTTGCGTTTTGTGCTCGTTCCAGTGCCATGTTCAGCATTCTGCATTGTAACACCGGTTTTTGGAATTCAAACGGAATGATGGGATGTCTTATGCCATATTGTATGTGTGTGTGTGTTAATGATTATTTCATCAACTAATTCAAGATCCGTTTCGAAGAACATTCCCAAATAAAAGGCAATCGGTCGTTCGGTGGACCGTTAGTCACCAACATGGAACAACCAAAATCATCGCTGAGATCTGTGGCGTTCGTTGCGGTCGTTTTCTCGACAGTTGCTGTCACAGCATGCATTTTCACATTCCCTATGGTCTTCCATTATGTTCAAACACTTCAAGCTAGTGTTCAGGTATTTACTTGATCCAACTTTTGTTAATGTTATCAGCTTTGCGATTAATTACTACTCGACAATATGTAATCTCGTATCCCATCCGATAGCTTCGTTTTTCAAAAATCAAATTCACTTGATTGTTCTGGATTCTTTACTGGATAGAGAATGGTGATTATTGCTTGATTAACGAGAGGATTCGTTGTAAAATCGTTCGATTCAGATAAACGAATGCGAAACTCTCACTGAGTAATGAAATTTATATTAACAGTAATATCCTGAAAAATTCACTTCATTAACAAGTGAAAGGAAATGAGGAATTAAAGGGAATTGAATTTCATCCAATCTATAATTGACAAATTATGAATGTATGACTAAAAATTGTTCTCAGAATGAGCATCCGGAAACTCCGATGAATTGATATTGGAAATATCATAAGTAATAAGTGAATCTACAACAAAACAGTATCAATATGACCATAAAATGTTTTACTGCAGAGTGAAGTGGCGTACTGTAAGAGTAGATCGAGGGACATGTGGCGTGAGATGATTGAGATGGCACCGCACGGTGAAGAGGATGCGCTCGATATCCTGATGCGTTCCACGCGTCAAGCCGAGGCACAATGCTGCACTTGTCAACAGGGACCACCCGGACCCGATGGACCACCAGGTCAACCCGGAAAAGATGGTGCACCTGGTGTCGGACCTGGACCACCAGGACCACCTGGNGCTCATGCGATAAGTTTTCTGACTGAATTGAGACAACTTATGATAGAACATTTTTGAAGGCAACAGGCCATTGGTCATCTGAAAACTGCATGAAATTGTCACGAGTCTTACTTATGAGCATTAGATGAGATGGAAATAATGCACTGATAGTTTTATCTGAAGGAAAAGTAATCCTTTCGCGCTTCTTTCAGATGGTATTGATGGACCACCAGGACCTCAAGGACCACCTGGTCCACCTGGACCCAATGGTCAGCCCGGAACACCAGGTCAACGTGGACCACCCGGTGAACCAGGACAACTCATTCCTGGTGACCGACCACCGCCAGGACCTCCTGGACCACCAGGAAGACCTGGTCCACCAGGAGAGCCAGGTCGTCCTGGACCACCCGGACGTGATGGAGAAAACGGACCATCAGGAAACCCTGGAGAACCAGGACCACGTGGTAAGTAGATCGTTGATTCAACATTCAGATAAACGAATGCGAAATTCTCATTGATGACAGTAAAATCCTGAAAATTTTCATTCATTAGGAAGTGAAAGGAGATGAAGAATTAGAGGGAAATGAAATTGATCTAGTCTACGGTTGCCAAATTATGAACGTATGATTGAAAATTGTTCTCA